GCCACTAGCATGTGTGGAGTTGTGCCTAATTGACGATGAAAGCTATCTACCACAAGTGAACAGGTGGGTCATGAGGGACATCAGTAACATCCTTGCCAAGAAGGGGAAACAACTAAGAACAAACATCCCATGGAGTGAGGAAAACAAACAGTACAAAAAACTTGCCCAGAGAGGCTATGCAAAGCCCTAAGTGTGCATGTGTGTTTTTGTAAGGAAGGGACCAGAATGTTCATGTTCACAAAATGGCCAAGTGAGTTCAGTCACCCTAAATAGGTTAACACTCGCTGGAGGTGGAGCAGGTAGCCCGTGAAGCTCTTAGTACTGAGATATAAGGATGCCAGTAGAATCTCAATTTAGAAAACCTTGGGTCTTCTTGAGCTGAACAGTTTTAGGCTCTGCCTCTAAGTGGTATTTTAGCAGCTCCTTATTGCTGCTCAGCAGGTCTGTCTGTGTTATCAGGGATCCTTAGCAGCTAAGGCGGAAGCCTCCTTCCAAAGACAGGTTATAGGCACAAAAGTCCTTCCTCTTAAAGCACTTCCAGTTGGGACAATGCTGTCCTGTTAGAATGTCAATTGTGTACATTGTCTGGTCTTTTCTAGGAAACTTTCCACTGAGCGATGACAGTTGCTGCTCAGTCACCTGAGTATCAAATGGCAATTGTCTGGAACAGACTTAATAAACCAACTGTGGAAGGGAGCTGTATTTTCATAACTAGGTGCCTCCATGGTCAAGCATGGCAGACCAGGCATTTTCCATTCACCTGCCTATGCTATTGCAGTGAACACAAATTTGCATACCTGGAAGAAACAAGATTTTCTGAAACATTAATAATAAATTCAAGAAATCTGTCTGTCATGGCTAAAACATCTGCAGTTTCACTTTGCACCTAGTTCAGATTTAAAATATCGGCGGTGTTTCTCCTTACTGTCTTGTGGTAATATCACATTGGTGGTAACTGAAATAGCCCTTCTAAAATCAAGAACCTAGGCTTTGTGAAATAGCAAAGAAGAATCCCCATTTAAAGTATAGGAATGTTTAAAGTTTTTATCTTTAGAATAAAACAAAACAGAAACCACTGCAACCAGGTATACCCATAGAAGTGTCATGTTCAGATCAAGAGGACAACAGATATTCTAAAAATAAAAAAAAAATTTTTTTAATTATTTTATTGATAATGGGTCCTTTTCCAGCATGGGTGTCTGCATATCACTTGGATGCAGTGCCCCTGGCAGCCAGAAGAGGGCATCAGATCCCTTGTAACTGAAGTTAACAAACAGCTGTGAGCTGCTATGTGAGTGCTGGGAACTGAATCCAGGTGCTCTTAACTGCTGAACAATCTCTCCAGTCCTGGGACAATGAATCTCATTCCCTCAGGGCTGAGCATACCACATAAGAAATATGCCGTATCCAATGCATGATGCTGTATAGCAAGAGGGACACAGACAGGCACTGGAAGATGGTGAATGACCAAGAAATGAAGACAATGGCAACAGCTGACTTTCTTACCACGTGCAGTATCTGAGCATTTTGCCTTTCCAAGTACCCTGTTGGGAACGGTTGTTAATATACGCATCTTACAATTAAGATCACTTGGGGACCTGCCTCCAATCTATGGAGGAACCGGGGTGCCATTCACCTTTACAAAATTCCAGTGGTCCTTCAGCTTAGGCTGCTTGGTATATTTTTAGTTAATCATACTAAAGATGAGATCATTGCCAGTGTGTGTGTGTGTGTGTGTGTGTGTGTGTGTGTGTGTGTGTAATACTAAAGTCAGGATAAATATATGTAGAAATCTGTTTAATCTATTCTACAGAAGCAATGATGCATATATACAAATACATGGAGATAATATAGATATACAAGCATAAAGACATAGGTACACATATGTGTGTGTAGAAATGCATGCACAGGGCTGGAGCAGCAGCTCTATCAGCAAGGTGCTTGCCATTTGAGCATGAGGATCTGATTTTGATCCCCAACAACCATATTAAAAGCCAAGTGCTGTGGAATGGTCCCTCTGTACACCGTGAAAATGGGTTGCTATCATTGTTAATAAAAAGCCGATTGGCCAATAGTTAGACAGGATTTGGGGGGGAAGAGGATGCTAGGAAGAAGAGGGGTGGAGTCTGAGGGGTCTCAAGCCAGACGCAGAGGAAGCAGGATGTGTAGAAAAAGAGGTAACAGGCCATGAGCCACGTGGTAGAACTTAGATGAGAAATATTGGGTTACTTTAAGTTGTAAGAGCTAGTTAGTAACAAGCCTAAGCTATCAGCCAAGCATTTATAATTAAGCCTCTGTGTGTTATTTCAGAGCCGCTGCTGAGACACAGAGAAACTCTGCCTACTGCCAGGTGTAGTGATGCAAACTTGTAATCCCAGTGCTGGGAGACAGAGATGGGTGGATTTCTGGGGCTTTTGCTGGTCAGCCAACCTCACCTAATAGGTGAGCCACAGGTCTTAGTGTAAAACTTCTCAAAAACAAGATTGACAGCTGCTGAGGAGCAGTACCTGAAGTTGACCCCTGGTTGCCATACATACATACCCACATGTACACACACACCTCCATCCACACACAAAAAGACCTATGCACATACATCTAAACAAGCACGTATTTGTTCTTTGCAGCTCCTTTTATGTTCACAAACAAAATGCAAGCAACCTAAGTGTCCATTAGTGGGCAATGACTAGAAAAACAATCGACAGACTGGAGCAGGAGAATCACTTAAACAATGCTGGCACATGGCCAACTTTTTACAAAAAGAAAAAAATCACTGTAAAAATCATGCATGCAATGCAGTGTGTGTGTGTGTGTGTGTGTGTGTATGTGTGTGTATGTGTCAGACTAGATATGATACATGTGTGTTAGGTCAGTTATACAAGAAACTACCAGTTCTGCATAACTATTGGAATGGAGTAATAGTAATTTCATGGTTCAGCTTAGTAGAGGAACAGGCATGAAGTGATTTAAACGTTTTTAAATTTACTTTGTATAAATGTTTCACAGTGTATTGTGTACACCACTTGTGTGTCTGGTGCCTGCAGAGATCAGAAGAGAGCATTGGTTTCCCTGAAATTGGAGTTACAGTTGGTTTTGAATTCCCATGTGGATGCAGGAACCAAACTCGGGTCCTCTGCAAGAGCATCAAGCCATCTCTCCAGTCCCATGAAGTGGTAGGCTTGCTTGTTTGTTTTGTTGTTTTGGTTTTGGGGAGGTTGTTTTGTTGGTGATTTTTTTTGGTTTTGTTTTGTTTTTGTTTTTGTTTTTTTGAGACAGGGTTTCTCTGTGCAGCCCTGGCTGTCCTATAACTCAATCTGTAGACCACACTAGCTTCAAACACAGAAATCCACCTGCCTCTGCCTCCTGAGTGCTGGGCTCCATGTAGCTGAGTGCTAATTAAAAAAGAAAATAAGTTGCAGAGTAGCACTACATGCTCAGGAAAGTGGGCCCTGTACAGTGGAGCTGACTGTTGACAAGGGTCGGGGGGCAAGGGGGTGGGTTGAGCTGGTCCCAAGAATGTGAGCATGGGAGATCTGGCCCCAAGCCCCTGCCCCTCAACACTGTGGCAGGTGGTAGAGCTGGCCTTGGGGTCACAAGAGTGGGAGGGCAGACATAACACCTCGCCTACGCAAAATGGTAGCCCGCCCTGTTGGCAGGGGCACAGGTGAACCAGCCCCAAAGCTGTGAGCGTGGGAGAGCTAGCTCCACTATTTGTCTGATATACAGTGGGGTGGAGGAAGGAAAGACTCCTCCCTTTACCCATTGCCCCTCCCGCCTGTGGCAGATGAGGGAGCTGACCCTATCTCTCCCTTACCAGCTGTGGCACTCAGGAAAGTGGGCCCTGCTCCTCATCTGGGCAATACAGAAGAGCTGACCCTGGTGGCTCGGGCTTAGGAGAGCCACCCCAAGAACCTGAGCCTGGGAGATCTGGCCGTACCCCTTGTCTGCCATACCGTGGTGTGGGCTGTGGAGAGATGTCCCCATGCCTGTGGTGGGTGGGAGAGCTGATCTGGAGGTCACAAGAGTGTGAGAGCTGTCCCTGCCCCTCACCATCTGTAGCATGTGGGAGATTGGCCCCTACACCTCACCTGGACAAGAGAGCCTACCCTGAGGGCTTGAAAGTAGAAGAACCTGCCCTGCCCCTTGCTCATGGCTGCAGGGGTGAACTTGCCAGGGCAGTGCCAGAGAGCTCATTCTGGTCCCGAGAATGGGGAGAGCTGGCGGGCTAGGGTTATAAGTTGGCCCACCCCAACATCCACCCAATCTGTGATCTGCTAGAGCCACATGATGGGGCATGTCCTGCAGACCCAAAGCTGAAGGATCCCCATGACACAGGGAAACAACAAGATATCCAACAGGAGTCCCAGTGAGGGCCCAGCACTGATAGTGTAACAGACCAATGACTCTTTGCCATGAACACTTGCAAATAAAGATACATGGACACAGGTGTTCACAGCATGACTCGTGATGCCACACTGTAGCTTCTATGATGAGATTTTTCTTTCTTTTATTCTCTTAAATGCTGTTTTATTGGGGAGGGAGGTTACAGATAGAGGGTGGATAGGAAGGTACAGGGAGATGGAATGGGATTGAAATACGTGATGTGGAAAACAAAGAAGAAATAAAAAGAAAGTTTAAAGGAAGAAACAAAAATGTGAGAAGTAAGGAAAAAAAGATACAGGTTGGCAGGATTATTTCTGGGTATAATGGTTTTATATTTTATCCAATAAAACTCCACGTAGCTTTAATTTTTCTACATTAGGAAGATGTATAATTCATCCTAAAATTTTGTTTACTAAACTGATCCCAAACTACTTACACATTCTCCAAACAAAAGGAGAAATGTTTTAGCTGCTGTCATGAGGTAAAGGAAATGGAGTAATGGGGTAAGGGTGACCGCATGTGGGAAGCAGGTTTCTAATGCCGTGAAAGCCAAACAGGAAGGTGATGACATGGGACTCAGATTTAACTAAAAGTTCCCAGCCACATGCAGGTCCAAAGACAGTGACATGGCAGGCATGATGGTGTGGATAGGGATCATCAAAGACTGAGGAGACACATGCTCCATTTGAGGGACAGAAAAGCAGCAGCATGGCTGAGACGTGAAGAGGAAGTGCAGGAACGCCAGGAGGTAGAATCAGAAAGGTAAGTCAGGACCAGTTCCCAGGGGACCGGGCTGGGATGTTCTGTAATTGCAGGCGCCACAGGAAGGTTTTGAGTGGGGAGGTAATCTTAGAAGTAACGTCTTCCCCCAGTCAAGCCTGCAGATGAGAATGCAGCCCTTGGTGCATGTATGATTCTTATCAGGGAACTAGCTAAACAATGCCTGTACTTCAGACTCATCGGCGTGCTGAAATGGGTGTTGAGACCTGCAAACCTGGAGATCACTTGTTAGGCGGCACTACAAAGCTGATACAGGTCAAGTGTTTTCGCTGGAAAACTAAGGTATGGAAACAATTCAGCTCCAGCTAGGCTCAGCCACACTTGGCTCCCCCTTCCTGGGGTGTCCTCGCTCTGGAAAAGGGAATTTGATGACTAGATTGCTGATGGTCATGTCAGAGGAGCAGCAGATGACAGTTGATTTGGGGGGATCAGCCCACCAGGGAACAAGGATGGGAGATGTCATTCTGTAAATATGTTTCTCGTATTGGTTAATGAATAAAGCACTGTTGGCCAAGCAAGATAGGCAGGACTAGGAGACAAGGAGAAGAGAGGAAGTAGGAGGGAGGAGATCCAAGATGGAGGACAGAGAGAGAAGAACGCCAGCCCCTCCGGTAAGATAAGACCATGTGGAAGTGCTTAGATTAATAGAAATGGGTTAATATTTAAGACAGAGCTAGCCGATAAGAAACTAGTAACTGGCCAACAGCATTATATCAAATACAGAGTCTCAGTGTGTTATTTGGGGCTGGCGCGGCAGTGGGCCCAGGCCAGCAGGGAAAACCTACTCATAACAGAACAAAACCCCATGAGTAATTCTTAGATAGGCAAGGCCGGGAGACCAAAGAGCCCAGAATGTCTTCTGCTTCTGCTACATTTTTACATGTTTGTCACTGCCGTCTTTCTCTGGCATCTGGCATGGCAGGAATGGGTATGAGGAGACTCCCACTGACTGTAATGTAGTGTTTATCTCATGGAAACATCCCATTCTACTGGACTTTTTTTTTTTTTTTTTTTCAACTTTGCTTTTTGGTTTTTTTTTTGTTTTTTGTTTTTTGTTTTTCCAGACAGGGTTTCTCTGTGTAGCTTTGGAGCCTGTCCTGGAACTCACTCTGTAGACCAGGCTGACCTCAAACTGAGAGATCTGTCTGCCTCTGCCTCCTGAGTGCTGGAATTAAAGCTGTGTGCCACCACTGCCTGGCTTCTACTAGGCATTTTTACCTGTGGATTATTATGGAAATGATTTTTCCTAATCGGTACTGTCTAATTAGTAATAATAATGTTAGTTTAAGTAGAGTTTTGGTGACTGAAAATAAATACAAAAAAGATCACATAGCTAGGGCCTAGGAGTTTCACTTGAGGAGCTGCAGGGATCCTAGTTCAGGTTAATGATTAAGGAAAACAATTGAGCCCCAAGAGACAAGCTGTCTTGAATACTTTTAATCTTGATGTTAAACCATGTATTCACAAGTTTTAGTGTGCATCATAGCTGAAATAAAGCCTTAGAATGACTTTAGGTTAAATTAAGATGTTTTGATAATAGTTTTGAGATGGAAAACCCTAGAAAACAATCTAAAGTCCACAAAGACACATAGCCAAAGGACTCATTTAGAACGAGGGGGGCTGGAGAGATGGCTCAGCAGTTAAGAGCAGTGGCTGCTCTTCCCAAGGACCCGAGTTCAATTCCCAGCATCCATATCGCAGCTCACACCTGTGACAACCCCACAGAGACATACATACATGCATGCATGTAAATGAAATAAAATTATATTAAAAAAGAACGAGGGGGTGGTAGTGATGGGAGAAGGAGTTAGGACAAAGAGGAGGGGAGAGGAGAACATCAGGGAGCAGGAAGATTGGGTCAGGGGAAGAATAGAGAAGAGCAAGTAGATACCATATTAGAGGGAGCCATTATAGGTGTAAAGAGAAATCTGGCACTAGGGAAATGTCCAGAGATCTACAAGGATGACCCCAACTAACAATCTAAGCAGTAGTGGAGAGGCTACTTTAAATGCCCTTCCCTGATAATGTTATTGATGACTACCTTATATCCTAGAGCCCTCATCCAGTAGCTGATGGAAGCAGAAGCAGACACCCACAACTAAGCACTGAGCCAAATTCCTGGAATCCAGTTGTAGAGAAGGAGAAGTGATGAGCAAAGGTGTCAAGACTAGGCTGAAGAAACCCACAGAAACAGCTGACCTTAACAAGGGGGAGCTCATGGACCCTAGACTGATAGCTGGGAAACCAGCGTAGGACCAACTCAGACCCCCTGAACATGGGTCTCAGTTAGAAGGCCTGGACAGTCTAAGGGACCTTGTTCAGGAAAAGACTTAGGGAGCACATTCCCCATGGAGAGCTAATCCCTTAGCCTAGAGATAAGAGGGAGGGCCTAGGCCCTACCCCAAATGACTTGACAGATTTTGATGATCCCTTCTGGAAGGCCTCACCCTCCCTGGGGAGTAGATGGGGGAAGGGATGGGAGGAGGGGGCATGGGAGGCTGGGAGGGAGAGGGAACTAGGATCCATATGTAAAATTAAAAAATATAATAATAATAAAACAAAATTTTAAAAAAGAGATCTGAGATCAAACACAAAGTGGCTCAATTATTGCCAAGATTGGTTAATGGTCAAAGATGATTAATTCCTTGTACCCATTTCTGCCCTCAACCTCCTGATATATATATCCTGATATATATATATATATATATATATATATATATATATATATATATATTGTTGATGAATGTGTATAAACCTCAAAGATTTAAAGAAGAGCTGTCTGGTTGTTTTTCATATGTAAAAGTCTATGCTTGTGATGCTTTTATGATTCCTTATAAGATTACCATTCAAGAGAAGTAATAAAGTGATTGATCCTTTCTTCATAACTGCAAAATGCAGACTGTTAGCAAAGGACTGCTGAGAAAAACAGCCTGCTTGCTCACACCCTGCTCATCTATAACAAGTAAATGTACGTGGGTTCTTGGGATGACTTCGTTTTAATCATGTAAAGGAGATGAAAAACATGTTTGTTCCTGTATTCATTATAATCATTCACTTGAAAAATAGAATGTAGCCACATTGTAATTTCTATATTGCCTGAAAGACTTTATTGGGGTATATAAACTGTAGAGGAAAAATAAAGTTAGAAGAAGAATACAGAAAAAGTCAGAAGGAAACTATCAAGAGAGTGTGTCTTTTCCGTTACCCCTTCAGATAAAAAAGTCTTAGTATGCCAACTCCCTGGATTCCATTTGAGCCCTGCACTGCTGGAGGCTGGTCCTCACAGCAGTGGTACGATGTGACCCCGTTAATCTTTGCCCATCTTTTCTTCCTCGACCATCACAAAAGTTATAAACACTAAGCTAATCTCTTCCTTACTTAATTATGTATGGTTTTGCTGAATTTATTTACAGAATTTTTTTTCAAGTCAGGAAAGGCAACATCTATAATGCCAGAATCCCTTCTGCTAGAGTCATAAAAAGGTGCTGTCCTCAGGCCCTGCACCACTCCAGGGCAGCACAACAGACCCAACTCTGTTAGCACAGGGGTGGGTGAGCCAGCACAAAGTTGTGAAGATGGGAGGGCTCTCCCCAGTTCTCATCTGTCTCGGGGCGGCAAAGCCTGTGGCAGGTTGGAGAGGTGGCCCTGTGGGCATATGAGCAGATAAGCTATCCCTCACCCCCACCAGCTGCAACACACGCAGGAGAGCAGGCCCTGCACTACCCCACAGCAGCACAATAGAGCCAGCATTGTTAGCAGAGGTGTGGACCAGGCAGCCTAGAAGAAGTGAGCATGGGCGAGTTCTCCCACTTCGCATCTGTCTTGTGGTGGTATGGGTGGGAAAATGATGCCCTCCTGCCTGCCCATCAATGCCTGAGGCAGGTGAGAGAGCTGGTCCTGTGGTTCTAAAAGTGGGAGAATTATCCCTGACCCCCACCACCTGCAACACTTGGGAGAGCAGGCCCTACGCCTCACCAGGGAAGCACAATAGAGCCAATCTTGTTAGTGAAAGTGAACCAGCCCCAACATTGTGAGCATAGGAGAGCTGTCCCTATTGCCCACCTGTCTTGTGGCATCATGGGCAAGGGAGAGTTGCCCCTCCCCCTTCCATCAACATCTGGGGTAGGCGGGAAAGCTGGCCCTGTGGCCTTAAGAGTAGAAGAGACAAGCCTATTAGTGCAGGTGTGGGTGAGTCAGACCTAAAGTTGTAAACATGGGAGAGCTGTCCCCCGTTTCATATCTGGTAAGCCAATCCTACAGCCACCCAGGCCCAGACCCAAAGATGTGACTTGCCCCCATTCCCACATCATCCATCCAGTCTGTGATCTGCTGGAGCAGTTTTATTTGGGGAGTATACAGGGGCAGAGGGCAGATTCCAAGGGAAATTAATGGGATCAAGACACATGATGTAAAAGACACATAAAATACTTATGTTTACACACACACACACACACAGAAACACACGGGCACTGCCTCCAACCCCAGCTGTGAACATAGCCCCCACCTCTTGCTTGAGATGTTTCCAGGTCATAGGACCACAGGGTTGGGAAAGACCATGATGAGCACATAGTTAACCCTCCTAGCCAATGTCTGACCATCCACAGCCTGTCTGCCATGGCCTCTTGCATGTATGACCCCCTCCCCTCAGGAAGAAGTTTGGCGATGGAAAACCTAATTCAGAATCTAAACTGTCTGTGGGTCATGGGCACATTTCTTAACATCATGCAACGCAAATTCCTTCATTGTAAACCAACATCTTTGCAGTTATTTTGATTGCTCTAACAACTTGAAGCAGTAGGCATGCTTCTCCTTCTCCCTGCCCCTAGTGATGAAAAGCTAGTCCAACTCATTATCTCTGATTTCTGTCATCTCTTACTCCCTCTAGCAACCATTTTTTGACACCTAAGTTCAGTGCTGTGCCATTGTTTCTCAATTACTTTGTATCCATGGGCCATGACCTCCCAACAAGACTGAGGATAACCACCATATTTTATATTTCTTGGGGACCCTCCAAAGGTTTAAGGTCAACCCAGGACATGCGGCAATATACAGAGAAACAGTAAAACATGCCAAATGAAATGAGCAATCCATCATTGCCAGAGTAACTTAAAACCAGCCACACTCAATGACCTGCCATTTAATTGGAGTTTCCAGTAAAAGGGCCCCCTTTCTATGGTATCCATTTTCAAGTTAAAAAAAAAAAAAGATGATGATGAACAGAGTGCAACCCTTTGCTTTTAAAAAGAAATATCTTCATGCACTGCACGTTTGCATCTGACCCATGACTTCATAACTAGAAGGAAAAAAAGAAAAAAGAAAAAAGAAAGAAAGAAATATCCCACAGAGCACCCTAACTCTCAGACAGGAGTGCTGATCTTCTCAATTGCTTACCCATCTGTGAATTAATGACTGAGAATTTCAGAAGGTTGATTTAAAAAGAAACAAAGTCTATGTAGGAACTGAATGTTCTCATGCCAAGGGGATACAGGTTAGGATACATTTGACCATAGCAGCTGGAAGGCAAAGAAGTGCCATAAAGAATCTATTGGAAGAAGTGTGATCAGAGAGACGTGGTGCACTTCTCTTAAGTGCATATCACTTAACTGCATAATCAGCTTGTGTTCCTAAGAATTATGCAGTCTCTGTCTGGCCCCCATTAGATTGAATGTGTTGCTACTCCAGTTAATTGCATATCAGCAAATTGCATAATTCAGCTATATGCACCCTGAACTGAGTTCCAAATGCCATCCAGTACAATGTAATCAAACTAGCGAAGTGAAGAGCTGGAATACTTATGAGATTCTGCCCATTTGTCACATTTGGTTTGGATAGTCTGAGCTGTGCATCAGGCAGCCCATTGCTCACAGGCCTGGGTGCTCTGGACTCCTGTATACCCTTCTGCAACAGCAGCACCATCTCCTGTATCCCCACACCAAAATTAATGAAAATGTGTCCAAGAGAAAAACAGGATGTCAGGATGTGAAAATCTGATTTAAAAGTAAAATCTCTGACTCATAGCTATGGTGCTGTGGTTCCCAAGACCAGGGAGGAACCTTTGGGTTCTGCCATCAACTTGCCTAGGAAGTATCTCCTCCACTGCACCTTCCCCCACCCCAGTCTTACCTGCCTTACAGAGCTGTTTATGAGGGCCCAGAGCTAACATGCACACGGAAGTGGAAGTTAAGAGCTGTCTGCAATGCGATAAGGTTGGTGTGCTCCACACCAAGAGATGGAGTTCGGAAAGGGGGCTCGTGTCATGGTTCAGGAGATGAAAAGCATGTACTCTGCAAGTCTAACAACCCAGGACCAACATGATTGATAGAACTCACTCCCACACGTTTTGCCCTAGCCTCCACACGCACTCTGTAGAAGGCACATGCTCTCTCACACACACTTGAGTCATCAAAGGTCAATGTGTGGTTCCATGGGTAAAGGTACATGCTGCCAAACCTAATCACCTGAGTCTAATCCCTAAAAGCCACACAGTAGAAGAAGAGAACTGACTCCCAAAACTCTCCTCTGGCTTCCACATATACTCCATGGCATGTGTGCCCTCACATGTAAACACACAAGTAAATAATCAAACAGATAAATCAGTAAATAAATAAATAAATGCCAAAGAAAACAAGTCCATCAACCTGAAATACTAAGGACCGGATAAAACAGATAAAAAGAAGCAAATGCCACTAGGTCTTTGGAAAGTGTGTCCTGGTTTGGGTTCTGATACTTTATTTTATTTTGTGGTGTGTGTGTGTGTGTGTGTGTGTGTGTGTGTGTGTGTTCACATGCATGCAGGTGATTGAGGAGGCCAGAAGAGGACACCAGATCCCTTGGGGAGAGAGGCAGTTGTGTGCTGAGACTCCAATGGGGATCCTCTGCAAGAGCAGCAAGTTTTGTTAATCACTGAGCCAGCTCCCCAGATCTTTGGTTCCTTTTACTAAATATGTTATTACATGTATATAGTGTTTATGTGTGCAGACATGTGTATGCCACTGAGCATGTGGAAGTCAGAGAACAACTTGCAGAAGTTGGTTCTCTCATTCACAGTATGGGTCCCAGGGCTCAAACTCTGGTCATTACGTTTGTACCAAATAGGCAAGTACCTTGACCTGATAAGCCACCTTGTCAGCCTTGGTTCAGTTTTTACTTTGTAAAACCTGTACACCTTCTTGAATCTACATGCAAGGAGGTCCTCATTAGGTTGCTTCTTGGGCAGAAATAACAGGACATCTACAGCAATCAGCCACAAGTTTGGTAATTGATTTTGGGCGGAAAAAATACCTACTACATCATCTTCAATATCCCATGAGGGATTGCCTTGCAGGTGCTGCATTGTGGAATCCAGAGGAAATGCCCGTATGCCAGCCGGTCCCCTTGGACTGCAGCCCAAAGATCTCAGAGTCTCCCTTTGCTCTCTGCAGATTTCTTTGCACAGATAACTTACTGCTGGTGTATCTAGTAATA